CTACCACGAGATAAGAATGGTCTGGGCAAAATATTGCTCTATCATATACTCCAGATAATTAATTATGTTCATGATGATGTTCACATATATGTGTGTATATCAACTACTAGAGATCCAAGGCATGACTGGTACGGGTTAAAAGAAAATGAAGATTATCCATTTTATGGTAAAAATTGCATGCATACACGCCTCTTTCTACGTTTATATTGTGTCTGTCAGTGGAGTACTGTTTCATTTTATTTGTTGTGTTATGTAGGTGTTCCAGATATTATAGTCATGGATGTGGATTTCAATGTCATTGCGATTGGTGAAGTATCACACGACAAGCCTGATGATGGATTTATCAGTTGCTTGGGGCAATGTTACGGGTTTATCTGGAAACTGGGCTCCTGCCATGTGGTATATGCAATGCACATTGTATGATGTTCATTGATATAATTTTTAGGAATTTTATCAGCCAAAAATTCAATTTCATTTATTTCACATGCTTATCATCAGTGGCATAAGTACAGCTGCTCTCTAAAAAGCTTTGGAGGGATTATGTCTATACTAGAGATGCTTATTAACACTGTAGTTCATAGAAGGTTTGGAAAACCTTCGAAAGCACCAGAAGTACAACCAGATGATGCTGTATTGATTGCAATTGGGAAGTTAAGGAAGTACATGAGCTGTAAGTGCACATTACATTAAATATTAATTTTATAAATGCAAATTTTATTTCCAGACCCAAGAGAGTAGCAGAAGCCATTGCAACTAAGCCAAATCAGAAATGCAACATTGATGGTCTGTGAAATATATGAGAACCTTATGACATTAATCCTATTTGACATGATGATAACTTTTTAATCAAAAATTTCCTCTGAACTTTGTTAAAACAGGGTGGAAATGTGGATTGGTAGAAGCAGGGTAGGGGTATAATGTTATTCTGTACTGCTTCATATTCTGCAGTGTTCCTCTGTAAGCATTAGTACACCTTCAGATGAAGATGACTTCGAGCAGCCAGTGAGGAACATCTCCAACCTAATACTCAACACACATATATAGTTATGACAGGAACTTTAAATTGCATAATGAATTGTGTAATGAATTTATGTACCTCTCACTCATGTATTTGTCCCTCATTCATGCAATTAGCCAAATTAATTCCATGAAAAGTGAAACAAGTAATTCTAATTTTAAGTAGATGAAGATATACAAATTTGGTGAGTCATGCAACGCACTGTATAATTGTTTATTGTTTTGCACGTTGTATAGTTTTTATTCTTTCAATGCTCTTTTTAAGTTTAAGTTACAGCCACTTATTAGATACATGTATGCTTCCTATTATGCCAAGCTTGTAAAGTACTTGTCCTGTAAAAATTTTTTTGCACACACTTATCTATACCAGTTCTGTCTTTAATGTTAGGATAAATGATAGTTAGAAAAAGAATAAAATACTATTTCTGTTTTTTATGTATTTTTATTTACTTAATATCTAGAAATTTGCTCACTAAAGTAAATAGTTGCATCGAGTTAAGTAATGATAATAATATACTATACTTGTACATTATTTTTCCATTTTTTTAATTTTGTACGACTACTCTGCTCTCTTTTTTTATTTTTTTGCTCTCTTATCTGGATATGTCTGATGATAGTGCATGATTCCATTAAGCTGTAAGAAAATCTTAATTTGAAAACAATGTTCTTACATCAATTTGGAGATTTGTAAGAATCAAAAGTGACAATTTGATGATGTCATTTTAAGTCTATTTTAAGTACTGTTAGGACAATGAAGTAATACCATAGTCACAATGTTACATGTACATACATGTAGGCATGTCTTTGGCTAGTTATACCAGTCATAATGTTACATACATGTAAGCATCTCTTAGCATGCTGGATAGCTGCAAATAATTAGTTATAGTTATTTTTGTAATGTACACTTATGTGCCTTGCTGGTCCACTCTGTTGCTCTAATTTATAGCGTACAGCCATTGAGAACTTGTTTACAATAAGAATGAATTAACCTTATGTA